TGGGTAATTAATGATCCTTTGTGCATATCAAAATTAATTAACCGCGAATTTGTTGAGAATTGGATGTTTTATTTGTTTGATTGGGTTCTACCTCACGTAATTGTTGAGCCATTTTCGAACTCAATTATAAAAATGAAGAAATTTAATGAATGTTTTTCGGTTACCAGTGGATGAATATGTTCCTCGATTTCAAGTTCGATTTACGTGAAATTGAAGACCTCTTTTATATCATTTGATGAAGGGGGACGTCGACGTTGGAAAAGCCATTGTGACAGTTTTTTAATTTATTATTAATATTAAATTCCACCTTACGTAATTGTCAAGTTATTTTCAAAGTCAGTGGTAGAAATAAGAAAATTTAGTGAGTGTTTCTCGGCGACAAGTATATGGATATCTTTCTTAAGAATTCAATCATCAAATTTGTCAGTTAAGTTGCGCGAGAAACGTTTGCAAAAAATCATGGATATCCGGCATCATTCAAATCGCATTTTGCGCAGAATTTTTTTTTTAATATTCGTTATTTTTAAAAATAATTGAAATTGGTTAAACTTTGGGAAGCCTTATTCCTTAGGCATGCAATCGATTTCTGGTAGAACTCTGAATATTAATAAATTTGTTACGATTCCGAACAAATGATTTGTATGATGGAAAATTAGTTGTCCATAAATTATCCACAGAAAATACTCGTCATTTTCCAAAATTTTGTTTTTGAAAATACGGACCTGCCAAATTTAAATAATAAAATCATTGAAAAAAATGAAAACTCTTATGTTCGACTACAAAAGGATAAAATCATTTCACTGGAGAAAAAATAGCCATAATACTTGGATATCTTCAAGCCTTTATTTTCATTCAGAGCTTAATTTTCGTAAAATTCTAAAACTTTTTTATGTACCTCTCAAGAAAATGATTCCGTGGCAAAAGTAATTTTTGCTCTCAATATAGTACAACTCAAACATTCTGAGATTTAAGCCATTGAAAATAATTTACTTCTCCGAATGATTATTTTATTATTATTCTAACATTCGTTACTTATAAATAAAGAGTTTATTTTTCGCGAAATTCAAGAACTGTTTCATGTATTTTTAGTAGAAAGTGATATAAATATCGAGAAAATCCATGATCCAATAGAGGTCGTTAAAATCTTCAAAGAGATTCTTGAATTAATCGATAGGATTCAGAAATAACAAGCAATTATCGAATTATTTTGTGTTAAAGTGGAGTATAGAAGTCAGGGAATTCATTAAATTAATTAAAACTTTTTAATTTTACGAATTATAACTGAATTAAGATTAACTAAATCAATTACAATTAATTAAAACATTCAACATCTTCAAATTATTGCAAAAAATTAAACAATTATTTATTCCCAATAAATTCGACCCCACCTAATTATTAAGTTATATGCAAAATGAATTATAAAAACGAGAAAACTCAATGAAAATTTATGATTTACAATGAGACGAATAAATTTCATAGGATTATATTTGTAATTATAACTTTAATTTTCACCAAATGAAGAATCTTTTCGATATATTTTGTATTAAAATAAACATTGAAGTCAGAAAAATCCATTATCCAACGAAAGTAATTGAACCATTCGCCGAGATCTCCAAATTATTCAAGAGACTTCAATAATTCATTATTTTAATCAATTTCTACCCCACGTAATTATTAAATTATACCCAAACTTGACCATAAAAATGCGAAAATTTAATGAGTATTCCTCGTTCACAACTAGATGTATATATTTCCCAGCTTTTTATTTTCAATTAAAAGTTCAATTTTCGCGAAATAAAAGAACTTTTTTACACATTTTTTCAATCTAAAGTGGGATACAGACGTCGGGAAAATCCATTATCCGAAGGAGGTAGTTGAAATAAATTATTCACTGCAATTAGAGAATGAAAAAAAAATTTCAATTGCTCTGCTAAGGGATCATTCACTATACCAACGTCAACCAGAATGGTTTCCAGCCTCTCTCTTTCCCCCACCCCTCTCGCCCTCGCTCATTCTCTCTCTCTCGCTCTCGCTCTCCCGCGTGAGAGCGACGTTTAAATGGCCCTGGGTTATTAATCACGCTTGACGGTAAACGTTCACACGAGGAACAACGAAAGTGCAGGGGACGATGAGGGGACAAACAGAGGATGAGCAGGCGTTTGTATATGTATATACAGATATCAGCCATCAGGAACAACCCCGAGTGTTGGACTGGTTATGTGTTGCACTCTGAGGGGTTTTGGCCATTGATGACCAGCGTATAATTACCGCGTGTATAAACGTGTTATCATCGTGTATCCTATCCCATGGAATCCAGCGGAAATACGTATTCTGTGATGGGTACACTCTACCCTGGAATTCCATGTACTGTATCTCTTTATGTTTCACTGCTGTAGCTTCAAAGCCTTCATATTCCCGGGCTTATGCATTACGTGGTTATGTGTACGTGACGCTCGGCTTGAGGATCAACGAGAACGCTTTCTGCATTTTAATTCGAATCAATCTCCTTCGGGTTTTTATTTATTTAAGGGGAGAGTACTATAAGTTTTAAAAGTCGTGCTGTTGAAGTGAAATTTGTCGTGCACTGAAAATCGATTATATGTATCTAAATCGAATAATTAGTGTAAACAAATTATTTGCTTATTGTCCGTTTGCTCTGTTGAAAACATTTTTTGTTGTTGTTTTACATAAAGTTTTGTGCTGTTCGTGTTCTCGATTCTTTCAGAAACATTTTTGGGGCTACTCAACATGAATGGTGGAATTTTTTTATTCAAAAAGTAACGAAATTAGTCGTGCGGAGGTGAATTTCAAAAAACTAATTCGTATTTGTTATTGAACACATTTTTTCAAAAATTTTGAGCGACTGCGGGGCAAACGAACAACAAACAATTAATTTTATTGCAGTCATTACTCGTTTTTAGACATATACAATCGATCTTGGGTGTATGAGAAATCTCATTTCAATAGCCTGCGACTTTTAAAACTCATAGTGGTCTCCCCTTAAATAGACTTATTTATTTAATTTAAAAAAACTTTTTTCATTCAAAGGAGTCATTTTTCAAGGTTTATGAATTTTTCAAAATTAGTAACTTTATTCTGGAGGGAAGGGTGGGGTAAAATGGACACTTTTGATGTTGTTTTAAATATTAGTGATGGGTTCAAATGTTGATGAAATTCAATCTTTTTTTTCAATGCAAAGAACAATTCTTTCCCTTTGTGATGAACTTAAACTGAGCAATATTGATACATTTGTTTCTGAGTTATAAATAATTTTAAAAAAGTGTAAAGTCTCCACTTTGTCCTACGCTCCCCTAAATTAGAAATTTTCCCCTCCCTATGAGTTTTTAACACTAAAAAATCATTCTCACGCGCCTACACTCATTAAATTCTCCACATTTCTTGATTTCAATATTCCATCACTTTCATCTTTGAAATTGAGAGCATCCGCATTCTCAATTTTATCCAAGACAAGACAGTATTTTCAGCGAACAATTTGGAGAAGAATGTCCTGGGCATTTTCCTATTTTCCTTAGATCGTTTGTCTTTTTGCTTGGACGATTGCACCCGGGATATCGCCGGAAGGAAACAGCGGTAGGCGGAGGGGATAGAGTGGGAGGGGCAGAGGGGAGAGACAGGATGGATTGGAGCATCAGGCAAGATAACGTATAACCCCGGGATGCAAATTGCTGGGTAACCCCCCCGACGTTTTTGCTCTGTTGGTTGGAGTATGCAGCCACGTCTGACCAAGCGCGGAGCGCTTCCACTTGTATTTCAATGGATTCGTACTATTTGATAATTATCGGTGATTATTAAGGATGTTTATCCATTCTCCACAAATAAATTTTTTTCCCTGTTCGAGGGGAATTCTGTGATTTTTTTTAGACTGTTCGGGAACATGTATTCATGTATATTATATATTCATGAATCAATCTACCTGTTCGTTAAAAAAGAAGTTGATATTCGCTCTTATTGGGTTTAGATGCAAGAAAAAAAATGAATTAATGAAAATTCATTGATCACGATCAAAAAGTGTCTTGCATTATTATCATTATTATTGTTTCTTAACAATAATAATGGCCATTTCTTTATTGAAATAATAAAAAATATAATTTTTAATATGAGTAATAAGTATTTATTATTTTTTACTATGTAAAAATATATGGATTTATTCCATTATATATATTTTGTAAGATATAAAATGGAAAAGATCTCAAGGAAGAAATATCTCAACTTAAGATTAACTTGAAATATTCCTAAGTCTAGCATAAATTTGGGGAAATAGATTGCTGACCGAAAATGTTTCACCTGCTTCTTAATAAAGAGAAGGCTCTACTTTACTAGAGAATTTCACCAATTTATCTATTTATTAATTAAGAAAGGAGTTAATATTTGAAAATTGAACCTTCTCATTAAACCCATGAATAAAAATTCCTTGCTCACGATATTTTCTAAAGAAAGTGAGTAATCATTATTATTATTCATTTATTTAAACAATTATAAATCTAATTTCTAAAATAAGTCATAAGTGTTCATTTAACAAATACATATAAATAGATATTTATACATATTCATTTATTTATTTATTTTTAAGAGTCAAGATGGAGAAAAATCTTAAGAAATATATTCTACAGGCTAAGATAAACTTGAAATATTCCTAAGTCTAGCATAGGCTGGGCGAAGTAGAATGCTGATCGAAATTTTTCGCCAATGGTTTAACATGGGAACATCCCTCATTAATTTACCCATCATTAAGTACTCTGACTATTATTATGATGATTGTATTTACTAGTAATTTTATCACATTGAATTTTGTTCAGGTATGCAACGCCACGTAACCAGGCGAACAAAGGGACGAGCGTGTCGGTGGATGACAGGGGTCATCGAGTAAATCGAGTGTGCAGGGAGGCATCAGCTTCAGCATTTTGGCTCTCCAAGCAGTCCACCTTGGGTCACTATCACATGCCGGATGCGACAGTCGCGACAACATCGCGTACCATACAATGCTCCGACGATGCATTCTTGCCCTGTTCATCATTTTCATCATTCTCATAATACCCATAGGTATGTATCTCTCATTTACGGATACATAAGGAAGACCGGGGTAAAATGGAACAGAGAAATACACGCGTCTCATTTCCCCCCGGTCTCCCGGATCTGCCACATTCCAAAATTCAACGATTGAGAAATTTTAAGAATGTTTAAGCTATCGAGTAGTCAACTCAGTTGAAAATAAAAATAAAATTGACTAAATAAATTCTTCATGTTGCTCAGAAACAATAATTAAAGAAAATGTTCATAAATAATGGAGGACTTGTGACTGCAAAATGTGACTTTTGCAAAATGTGATTCGAACGATGCTGGATAGCCATGAAAATTTTCAAATTCTCCTCACACGATTCAATTTACAAACTAAATCATCTGAAATCTCAGAATTCACGAGGAAGTGTGAGAGCTACTTTGATATCCTTCATCCGGAGATTTTCAGTTATCAAATGTTCTAATTGAGCTGCTTGAGAACACTTTGATAAACTCGGTCTCCCTTATTGAACGATGAATATTCACCGAGAAAAGAAAGTTTTAATTTTCAGGATCTGCTGTATTCTGAAATTCAACGAGTGCGAAGTTCTAAAAGCCAGTAATTTTGTCACTAAATTCCGGTGACAATCCTAAACTTCAGAACTTTAGACTCTAAATTTCAGTGATTAAATGCCTAGAATTTAGAATTGCTTTGATCATTATAGTAGGAAAAATCCGTGTCAGAGTCAGATTAAGATTCAAAATGAGGGTCATCTAGGGGTTCGCGAGCAGAGGGCGTAACCCGCTAGTACCTTCAAGATAATACATTGACGACGAAAAAATCTTCGTTTCCCAAAAAAATTCTCCCCTCGAAATTATTTAGTTTTTCCAATACCACAGTTTTCAGGAAGAAACTCCATAAAAAATATAAGTGTTCATTGAACAAAGATATACACTCCTCAATAACATTCACTTCCTAAAGCCGGAGCCTCGTATAATTCTCTGTAGAACGAATGTATTCACCCGAAGGACATACAAATGTCTCATGAGAACAATTATTATACCCAAAAAAAAAATTACTTCTCACCAGTACAAACCGGTACTCTTGAAAAGTTCTAAAAATACTCGTCCCAAGTACATTTTGTGTCCTTGGATGAAGTACCACATCTGCCGATCGAGTAGAAATGGTACTGGGAGGAAGTAGTATCACTACTTACTGCCAGTACTTTCAGTACTTTTCACAAGTACCAAAGGTACTGGTGAGAAGTAATTTTTCAACTTCTCTCAAGTTCTTTTAGGACTTAATTTCAGTACTTCCAATTGATTACTTTATTGGAAAAAGTGAATATTATTACCGGATAGAATGGGCTTTCTTACGCATTTTTGTAAATAGAAATGTTCGACAGAAGATATTTTGTAGGAAAAAATCTATAGATTGCGATTGTTATGGATGATTTCGAGAATTATTGGGATGCTTTTCAACCTCCAAAATTTCAATTTTGTTGAAATTTTTATGTTTTATGTTGGTATCAACATTTAAAAGGCTTCGAAAAATTATTTTCAATTTTATTACTCACAAAACGGCAATTATTTGGATTTTTGAATTTTTGACGAAATTCGGTTTTTAGAATCTCCGTGTACACGGAGAGAAATTTTTGATAAAAATTATCCTACCGTTCTATAAAAGTGTATCATGAGTCATCGTTTCCTCATTTCTATCCCGAAATTTGATAAAAATTAATAGGGGACGGTGGGGCAAAATGAAACACGGGGCAAAATGAAACAGCAAGAAAATCTTGTGATCTAAGGGAGATAGGACGATTTTCATGGAAACCTTATTTGTAGAGAATTTTACAAGCTACAAAAAAGGTCCTCTTCAAAAATCTCCTATCTCCTTTAGATGACGAGATTTTCCCACTGTTTCATTTTGCCCCGTGTTTCATTTTGCCCCATGCTCCCCTATATGATGATCAAATTATATTCTACGTTAGAGAAATTGTATTCTGATAAAAATAAAAATTACTGTGCCGGCAGAGTAAAAATTACTGTACCGTTAGGGTACAATTTACCAATCGTTCTAGAATTTTCGTTGTTATCTACATAAAAATTATTGGACTGGAAGGGTAAAATTTTTTATGCGTCAGGATAAAATTCTCAAGCGTAGAATAAAATTTGATCATCATATATTAATTTTTACTAAATTTCGGGATAGAAATAAGGAAACGACGACTCATGATGCTTTTATAGAACGGTAGGATAATTTTTATCAAAACTTTCTCTCCGTGTACATTGAAAACAATGAACCGAGGATATCATGACTTATCTTCCGAGGCATGCCAGTGAAATAATTTGCCCCCAGTAAATGGTACTCGGGTTTGGTGGATTTGACTGGGCTTGATTTGATTCTGCGACTATATATGTGGTGGCACACAGTGTCACCAGCAGACCGGCTGACATTTGCGCGAGTCAACGTTCATCGGGCGAGCGGTGGGGGTTGACTGGTTGAAACGAGCGAGAGAAAGGGAGAGAGAGTGAGAGATCCTCGTTGCCCAACTTCTGTACCTGATGTTTATTCGCCGATACAGCTGGACTTGTCATTCGAATTAATTTACTGGAAGTACAAGTGGACGACGGCGGTTACAAATTGTCCGAGCTCATGTTTGCCAAATCCTCTTACCGCATTAACATCACGGCAAATTACCACGGGATTCAATATTTTTATGATCCCCATCGGGTAGATCCCCGCCGCATACACCCGAAGCATTGTCATTCATCTGATTTTCTCACTCGCTGTATCGATGTATCATCTATATTTTTACATCATCTATATACAAGCCAAAACCGCAGGACTACGTTAGAACGTAGACCTGCTGCTACTCGTTGATAACGACTTTCCCAGCGTCGTTCATATTTTACACCCAACTCATCAATAATTCATGCTGTGAATAATGCACGACTGTTTCGCGTTACTTTATATTGCCACGGGCCACACTGGCTTTTTACCCACCTCTAGGCTTTTTTCTCGGTTTTCTTGTTTTTTGGTAATCATCGCAAAGTCGATACATATTTTTGACAGGTCTCATCTACCATTTTATTTTCAGATTGAACCTTTAGATTGGGCGCCATTTGAGGGAAACGCCGCAGCGCGTCGTTTTTTGTTAATTAGCATTGACGGGATAACCGCAAAAATAAAAACGAAAGACTTTCTCAATTAGAGTAGACAATACTTGAATAATTGGAGTAGATAATAATTATAGCGGTTTTAGAATAACATGATGCGTGAAATTTCAAAAGAAATGAATTATTTTTAACACAAGAATTGTTTTCCCATGTTAGAGGATCGGGCGAGGAGGAAATGTAGGAGGTGAGGCGGAGGGGTTTCTATTGTTTTCCTGCAGAAAAGCAATCGCTGAACAAAAAAATTTTTCCCATTCGGATTCAAAATTCAGGCAATATTAAAAAAAAAATTAGAAAGTTTACTTTCTGAGGAAGATTGATGCAATCATTAAAAAATTGCAATTTTTGAAAACTCGCCTCTTCTATAAATAATTTATAAACACTCAATTTTCCATCATACAAATCATTTGTTCGGAATCCTAGCAAATTTATTCATATTCAGAATTTCACCGGAAACGGTTTTCACGCCCAAGAAAATACGGTTTCCGAAAGTTTAAATAACTCAAATTATTGATTTATAAGCAACGAATGTTTGAAAAAATAATAATTCTGTGCAAAATGTAATTTGACTGACGCTGAATATTCATGATTTTTTTCAATTTGTTCACATCGTAAGAGCAAACAGACAACCAAATTGAATTTTTTTAATTATCAAAATTACACGAAAACTTGAATGAAATCTAGCAAACTAATCCGAGTTTTCCGTAATTTCTGTAATTTCCCTGAAAAAAAAAAAAACTCTAAGTGAATTAGAATTTAAAGAGANAAAAAAAAAAAAAAAAAAAAAAAAAAAAAAAAAAAAAAAAAAAAAAAAAAAAAAAAAAAAAAAAAAAAAAAAAAAAAAAAAAAAAAAAAAAAAAAAAAAAAAAAAAAAAAAAAAAAAAAAAAAAAAAAAAAAAAAAAAAAAAAAAAAAAAAAAAAAAAAAAAAAAAAAACACTTCCGTAATTTCGACTTTAGCAATATTTACATTTAATTACCCCCATAAAATGTTTACTGAATACAATTGATTCAACCTATTGCAAACCAAGTTGTGAAATTCATATCGAACAATGGTACCTTTTACGCCCACAATTTTCTCCATTTTATTACTTCAAATATCATCGCTTTATTTTTTATGATTTTCTCTCTTGTTACTCCCCCCCCCCTCGCCCTGTCCCTCGCACTGCCGTTATTTTTTCTTGTCAGGATATACGTCTGTATTACGGGGTGAAACGTTCGAAGAAATTCCCAAGACGACAAACAGAAGGTATGAGATGTACGTATTGCACAGTAAAGGATAACCCGTGAGTAACAGTCTCTCCACTCCCTCATCCTCATCGTGTCCTCGTTTATCGCGCACTTGGTGGATGTACGTTCAACTCTGTTGGGCGATACGACTGGGGAGTCGCGTGTTTCACGTCAAATTAGAGATGGAGTGAGAGAGGAGGTAGACCACGTGGAAATACAGCAATAGCAGCACCAAAGAGCGGGGTTGGGGGTGGGAGGGGGTGGGGGCATCGGCAAGTGTGTCATGGACGAATGCACTAGATCCCATTGGGTATTGCCAAGTGGTGGATACGCCTGCTACGGAGACACCTTGAGACATTTTAGCCTCCACTCGGCCGTATCCACTGAAATGATGACTCGTCAACGGATTTACCAAAATGTCGTGGATGATTAAATTTTGTCCATCGCCAAAGGATTTTGATGGCTTCCAAAGGCGCTTCAGGGGTTGTACCCAGTCCCGGTGAGGAGTAACTCGCAATTCAAGTACACGGAGAAAAATGGGAGAGAAAAATTATGGAGCAAGTCAAGTAATCGTGGAGCGAACTCGATTTTCAGTACTTTTTCACTGTATATCGAGAAAAAGGTGCGAGCCACATTTTTCGCCCTTAACCCGGGAAAATTTACTGGACATGGGGTACTAACTAACATTCTAATCAGCTGAAGTTGTTAATTTTCAATATTATCAGCAGCATAGAAAAAATTCTGTTGCGAAGTGGTAAAACGGTAATCAATTTTGACGAATGACCAGTTTTCCATTATTAACTCGGAAACTAAGGGAGATAGCAAAATTTTTTTTATAACCTTTTTTGTAGAGCCGATTGAGAGCTACAACGAATGTGATTACGAACATTTCGATATCTCCCTTAGATTCGGAAATATTCCTCAAAAACTCAACTGGGAGATGAGTCGACTCGAACCGTTTTACCACTTTGCTACTGAATTACATGTGAATTTAAAATTTATATATCAACATTGGTCGCTAAACAACGAATTGACTAAACAATCGCGAATGAAAAAAAACGATTTTTATCATTAATTTTTTCATTTTTCGCCTTCTAAGAGAAAAAAAGGAAATTCTTGGAAAATTTGGTACTCTAAATTAATTAAAGGTCACGAGGGTCATGTGGTTGACGAGCGGAATGAACAGGGGGCGTAGCCCCGTAGTCAATATACAAAACTTTCAGAAAATTATATTACTCGTAAATGACTCTGAGTGATCTTAATGGTTTGTCAAATCTTAATGGTTTGGTCAAAAAAAAATCCAAAAAGTCTAAAAACTCAAAGTTTATCATGATTTCAATTACACGAAGAGAAATTTTCTAGAAAAATTCTAGTGCTAGCACGGGAAAAAAGCGCAAAGTGACGACCAAGGAAAAATTCCAGTGTTAGCACTGGAAATTTCATCAGGTAGCCCATCAATTTTTCTCATTCAAATGAATTTTTCACTGAATTCTCGATCGATTGTGATTTTTTCCAGTACTCCCACTCCAACGTTTCAAAAAAAATTCTCTCCGTAGAGAGCCCCGAAGTTGAACAATTTTCTCTCTCAAAAACTGCCACAACAGATCGAATGAAATATTCGAGAATAATCCCACCCAACGAGCAATGCACCATTACGAAGACACAATTAAATAACAATTCCCCAAAGCTACAGTCAAGAAACTTTTTTCTCTCCATGCGTAAATTATGTAATCACGTACACAAAGTTCTCGACGATTACGCCAGCATCCCAAGAACTCGGGCAATATGAGAAAGCGCAAAGATGGGAAATGTAATTGAGGGAGAACGATGATGATGAGGCGAGGAAGAGCCCCTGAGGGACTTATGGTGGAGCAAAAAAACCGGGAAAAAAATCGAGTGTAAGAAAAGATGAAGGGGAGGAAAAAGTGGGTTTCTCCCAATCAACGAGTTCACGAGGGCACTACGTGTTACATATCGTGTTTGGACGCTTCCCCCGGCGCCGCTCGTCAAGAGAACAAAAAAAATAAATACCGAGGGAGGAATTTCATGCGTTGAATACGTGCACACGCACGTACTCAACGCACAGTGATCCCGACCCTCGTCGCATTCCTCTCGGTTTTTATCTTCACTATTTACCCATTGCCCCTTCTATCATATAACATGTGGCCACGATATACTATGTACCTCTGGAGTTACATAAACCCAGTGTTCCTCTATCTCATTCCATTGTCTGAATGAGTCTGAACGTCCAGGCGTCCGGCCACCGCAGGGGATCGTGCGGAGAGTTTGTTTTTCGTGGAAATTCTGGCTGTCGGATCTGATTCCCCGGCGGGCCTTCACTTCTCCCTTCTTCCCCCTCCTCCGAGCCCACCACTTCAGTCTCTCCCTTTCCCCCAGCGGTGTACGTTCCAGGAAAAGGAAACGGACGTACGGGCAATTTTAATGAACATCCGTCGCACTCACCGCTAATTCGATGCGCCGAGGAAGACAGCAAACCTCCCACCGAGCGGACGATATTGCTCCCAGTGGACACTTTGCAAGCATAAAACACGTCAAATAATTTGGATTAAGATGAATTTGTGACGAGGGAGATTATTGGTTTTGGGGGTTCATTTATTTTTTATTTGATGGAAGCTTTCCTCGGATGTACTGAGATTTTTTTGGGACGAGAACATTTTGGGTGAAAGGAGAATTCAAGTGGAGATTTCGGGCGGAAAGTTCTGACGTTTGGTTGTTTCAAGCACCAAATAATATATTAATTATTATATTAATTACCAGTATAATTATCAAAATCTCGTTATAATTCTCTTCTGACTGGACCACGGAGCGTCGACTCCCGCAATTCCATTGGTCCTAAAGATGACGGGGAAAATAATCCAGCTAATTTTAATTCAGCTTTTTTCTCCGTGTCCCTGCAACCCTCCCCCCCCTCCCCCTTCCAATCGAATAAACCCACAGAAACAAGAGAAATCCAGCAAATGTATCGTAACCCCCGCTTGAACTCGGTAATTTTCCCCTCTCCCATAACAGCATCTTCAGCCCTTGAAGTCTAAAATATTCCGCAGACACTTCTGATTCATAGGTTCTCCACGACGAAACGTGCGCCCGCATTAAGTAGCCAATAAACTACCCCGTCTCCCGGTAAATTCGCTCGTAAACCCGGTAACATTGTTGCTGCGCCTTGTCGCATATTCTAATAAGCCTGATACCATTGCCGTAACAAACGGCGTGAACATCCCCTCCGACAGCCCTCGATACCTGAATTTCCAAATGTTCCAAATCCAAACAGTTGAATCGCAATGCATTCGAGGATTTTCCGTTGCGTACATCCTGAGTGGTGAAAATTTGAATACAACCCATACGACATATATGTTTATTGGATTTTGGTTTCAGTGAGGGGCTTGGAGCCAGACTTCCTGTATCCTCTGGAGAACGTTACGATCCCACAGGGTCGGGACGCAACATTCACATGCGTGGTGAACAATCTAGGTGGATACCGGGTGAGTCCTTCCTCGTACGCGAGTGCAGATCACAATGGCGCCAAGGCCCGGGTAACTATCCATTCACGTGAGACGATGCAAACTAAAAAAACAAAATGAGAAATGCAAATTTAAAAGAATTTATTAAATGATTAATTAAATGATCATTTGAAGTACAAGTGCCTGCCGCACCAGCAGTATGGACGCCCTGATCATAAACTGCACCAGTATTTATTGCACCTGCCTATTATATCATAACAACAGCACTGCATTAATGCACCTTTTGAGGATGAGATAATCATGGAGTTGATGAGTTTTAACTGGAGAGGATTAATTGTGGGAATATGATTGATATATGGATGATGATTAATCAGCGTCATTCGTATATGAATGGGACGCACGTCGCACGTGTCTGAATATGCAGCAGTTGGATTCTTTGAGGAATATAACATTTATTATATGATATAGCTCACGCGATGATGGCTGCCTGCAATGCCTGTGCATTCATTCGTACGCACGCATTTTATTTTTATATTTTTTGGTTGGTTTTCAGTGGGAGTTTCATGGGATGAATAGGCACTTGCGTGGAGATGGGATCGTTATAGAAATGACAATGTTGTTGTGAGAAGATTTGACCATTTTTTGATTCCGAGTGGAAGATTTGTTGTCCGCCAAATTTAAGTTTTGGGGTTTTTGCGCTGTATCGTGAGATTTTCATGTCAGTCATCAATTTGGCATTCTGAAAATTATTTTTTGTTGTCACAACGGATTTTTATATATTTAGAATTTTAGCAGAAATCGAGCTAATGGAGAAAAAATGGAGGTTAGTTCCATTATTTATTTATGATATGGAATAGTTTGAAAAAGAGAAACTTGACTATTTGATTATCTGCCGATTTTCTTCAATTTTCCTTTGCCCGAAGAGGAATTTCTGCTAAAATTTCATCTCTAAATTGTAGAATTTCTGTGAATACCAACGAGAAACGCCACCAGTCCATAAACATTGAAAAAAATGTAACAAAAAGAAAAATCCACACAAACATCGTGATTTTCACGAGAATTGATGAATGTTTCATTACTACATTTTACTCATAATTTTCAATAAAAATTGTCCAGTGGTCCGTATAAAACAGTAAAAGGCACTTGGAAATCCTCAAGTCTGACTACAGTTTAAAAATTTTGGCAGAATTTTCCGGAAAAAGCCCTTGCATTCGATTTAAGCGGAAAAAGTCAATAGAACTTCCAGTTCCTCTGAAAGTTCAAGTGAAGTCTCTTTTTTTTAGCGGTAGGAAGACGGAAATTCCATTAATCGTTAACAAGATACAACCAAATCCTTTTCATTCACCGAAATATCCCCGTCTGACCACAGCCGCCACTTACTACTTCTCATCTCCACGTCAAGTGCAACAAAATTCAAGTCCAGTGAAAATTGAAGGAACAAACTGTTCAAAATAGTTGCTGAAAAAAAATGTAGACCACGACCCGTATATTACAACCCCGATATCTATACATGACGTCACAATCTCATGACATGTGCACGTATACCACTAGAGAGTTTAAAGTTTTTCCAGGCGAGATGCAGGCAAGAGAGAGATTTCGCGTTGCAGTTGTTAAAAAAGTTTTTTTCCAAAAAACCCCCGCGCCACGTTTTGCCACCCCTGGCACTCGGAAATTTCATTGGAGAATTTTCAAACAGTTAACAGGTCTTTATTTTCTTTAATAATAAATCTAAATTAAAAATTCTACATTTAAAGACGAGGAAATTTCAATCTGAAGAAACAAGATGCAGTCAAAAACCTTTTCATTCACCGAAATATCCCCGTCTGACCACAGCCGCCACTTACTACTTCTCATCTCCACGTCAAGTGCAACAAAATTCAAGTCCCGTGAAAATTGAAGGAACAAACTGTTGAAAATAGTTGATGAAAAAAAATGTGGACCACGACCCGTATATTACAACCCCGATATCTATACACGACGTGACAATCTCATGACATGTGCACGTATACCACTAGCGAGTTTAAAGTTTTCCAGACGAGACGCAAGCGAGAGTGAGAGAGAGAGAGATACCGCGTTGCTGTTGTTAAAAAAGTTTTTTTCCAAAAAACCCCCGCGCCACGTTTTGCCACCCCTGGCACTCGGAAATTTCATTGGAGAATTTTCAAACAGTTAACAGGTCTTTATTTTCTTTAATAATAAATCTAAATTAAAAATTCTACATTTAAAGACGAGGAAATTTCAATCGGAAGAAACAAGATGCAGTCAAAAACCTTTTCATTCACCGAAATATCCCCGTCTGACCACAGCCGCCACTTACTACTTCTCATCTCCACGTCAAGTGCAACAAAATTCAAGTCCAGTGAAAATTGAAGGAACAAACTGTTGAAAATAGTTGATGAAAAAAAATGTGGACCACGACCCGTATATTACAACCCCGATATCTATACACGACGTGACAATCTCATGACATGTGCACGTATACCACTAGCGAGTTTAAAGTTTTTCCAGGCGAGATGCAAGCGAGAGAGAGAGATTTCGCGTTGCAGTTGTTAAAAAAGTTTTTTTCCAAAAAAAACCCCGCGACACGTTTTGCCAACCCTGGCATCGATGAAAACCTTTTTAAGTATTCCACGTGGGGTGTAACGCAACTGTGTCCACCACCCCCTACCCGCCCCTCCCCGCCGCGCCATTTCGTCCTCAAAAAAGACACTGCGCCATACATACGTGAAAGTTTAAAATTTTTTTATCCACTGAGAGAGAAATGGAGAAGTAAAAAGCCAGTTCTATATGCTGTAAAATCCCATCATATTTTCTGCATTACCACTGTTAATCGCGTATTATCCTCCCGCATATGTAAATCATACAATGAGGACTCCCCTCCCACTTCATCTCTTCCATTGGTTCATTTTTTCAATTTTTCATTCTCCTTTTTTCCATCTCTTTATTTTAATGTTCACGTCGTCATTACCATTCGGCTAAACTCTCGCGATGCATGAGACAATTGATTCGTTGATGCATGATTGAGAGTTGAAAATGAGAGGAAATAAAGTAAAATTCTAGCGGCACAGTAACGCATGAGGCATGATTGATGAGGAAGAGTCGATTAATCGGCAATGATTTTAAATAATTGGGGTTTTCAATTTTGTTTATTGTTGCAAATGAAAGGAGAATGAAAATATTGGACATGTATTTTCTCTAGCTTTGGGAGGATAATGAATACGGAAATAATTAGATGTGGAGGAAATAATATCTGGGAAAATAGCCGAGTAGTCTTCGACAATTGCTTTTGTTGAAATTCTTTTTGAGGGAGATTCGGAAGTAATTGAAAATTTGCTAATATTGCAGTGAGAAAAAAAACAGAGTAATGTCAACACACTGATTTATTCTGAAGAGCACCAATTTTTATCTGAAATCTAGCATTGATCGAATGCAAGGAAAATGGCGTGTGGGGCGAAACGAACACTTTTACCTTTTTTTGAAATGTTAATGACTGATTTAATTTTGGATGAAATGGAGAGGACAGTGGTTGCCCTCTGGGACGACTCTAGACTGATTTCAATTGATAAATTTATTCCAGACTTATGACCGTTGGAAAGAATGTCAAATCCCCCGTTTTGATCTCTGCTATTTTTTTAATTCATGAATTAAAAATACGATCTGGTACGACCTAATATCGAAAAAATAATTTTTGCAAAAATTATTTTGCAAAATTATTATTAGTATTATTGAATTGTTGTTTTGCAACAATTATTTTTACAATATCGGGTCGTTTTATCGATGAAGCTGGGAATTTTACATTTTATTTTTTCAATTTTCGCAATAACCGGACGAATACCGCCGATTACGCCTATAACAATTTATACGTATGCGAAAAAATATAATTGTTGGTGTTATCAATAATATTGTTGAGGAAGAATTCAAGGAAAAAGAGATGAAGTAATAGAAATACTAATTAATAGAATAATATCAGTCCAACAACAACATGGCATATGACACAACAATTAGAATTATTCCGATGGGTAAACAAGGCTTCCATTCGGATGCAAAAATCGCGATTTTTTCCATCATATTTTGGCCCATCAGGGTGCAGTATTCAAGGTCATGTGACACCTTCACGTCGGTTTTATATTTATAATTTACCAGGTTACTGGTCACTTATCAAAATGATAATTCCACAGTTGCCTGTCAATTGTTCTTTCTGATTTTGACATTTCAATTAGTGAAAAAGGCTTGTGTGAGGTTACACTGATTTGATTCGAGATAAAGAGTCACTCCAAATGAGTCGATTTGGCCAGAATTCTTTACGAGAAGTTGATAACAAGATTGACCATTTTTTTTTATAATATATATAATATTAATTGAGTACGTTGATATATGAGTGTTTTTTTTTTTTTTGAACAGTAGATAATGATTGATACAGGGTTTGTGAGTGAGGCGGAAATGGTATACATTGTAAGAGATGCGGTGATGAAGAGGCGAATTTTCCCCAATATTTGTAGTTGTGATTCGTTTTAATACTGATCAACTGTGACGTCAATGCAAATTTTCCCCAATTGCCTAGATCCAATATTTCTCATCCTACTCTCCTCCCACTATTGTCCCCCTAAAAAATCCATACAAAGCCCCAATTCACGCATACGTGTAAGGTTGTGCCAGTGCTTGCGCATTCAATCTACTTTACCTTTTTTTTTTCATTAAAACGGGTCTATTTATTCATTCTCTGTCCAATTGTATCGTGATATGCGTGACGTGTAATCCCCGGTAACTACCACTACAAAAGTGTGTTTCCTTGTTTTTACAAAACGCTCTGTTGACCCTGTCAATTTTACCCTGTCCGCTGCATTTTCCCGTTCCTTATACAAAAAAAAAAGATGGGGAAAAATCAACCCCTGTTCAGTCTATTGAAATTTATCCCTAAATTTGAGTAACACAATTCAATCAAAGTTCACACGGTCACGTTTCCTCCGTAATAGTAATGTTACAAGATCTATGCGCGCGCTCCCGCGCGCGCTGATCTATTCATTTGTTGAAATGAAGAAATGGAATTCATTGAATTTCATTTTCTCATGAATACCTTATAAATATTGATAATGAATCAAAGAGACTTCGACTAATGATTGAAGTAAATAGCCAAGTAGAGTAAAAGAATATATAACAAATTTTTCATTTTCAATTAATTATCTTCAATTTTTTTAAATAATCGGTCTCCATAAAAGGACAGAATTTATTAATTTCACCGATGATATATATACATGTGATATATATACGTGAAAAAAAAATTTACCACTGAAGAATTTGAAAATGCCGCGTGTTTTTTTTGTGAATAACTTCGTGTCACATATTGACCAATCAGAATTAAGGATTAGCGGTCAGGCAGTTTCGAGATATTTCGATATAAAACAACTTCACGTTTCTTTCATCTTTAGTAAATATAGAACAAGAAGTGATTTTCAGAAATTAATTAATTTCTCTCTAGGATGCCCGATGGAAGGATTACGATTATCACTAACGTATGGCTCAAATATGAATCTGGCATATGAGGCAATACCTAAACAATGGTGAATAATGTGGCTAAACATCCTTAACAGCACTAGAATTTTCCTAAAAATTTCCCCTCCGTGAACCTTCCATTAAATTTTCAAAAACTGCTCGCCCTTGGTTATTAACCACTTATTTTTTTAAAACAAAGCCTTAATATTCTTGGACTACTACATCCATCTGGAATTTCATAACGACTTCCCCCTTTCGTCACAAAGCGTCGCAAACTACAGCCCCGCTCCCCCTATTAATGTGCCATAACTTCTGAATGCCCGCTTCACTGCTAAAGTCCTGTCATTAAAAAATCTCACACGACACATAAAAATTGTCATACAGAAAACAGTACAGTAAACTTCCTCTCCTGAACTACAATAAAGCCCTTTTCCTGTAATTTCATGCCAGATCCTCCAAGAATGTAAAATACCCTAAGCAAAGGTTGATTCATCCCCATCACTATCGTGTGCTTTCACTCTCATCTCCGAAAATATTCATTTTCTCCAACCACCGCGCCCCTCCCCCCTCCCCCAGGTAAACGTCCCGAGTGGAGTGGATGGCCGTCGGAAGCGCCAGCGAGGAGCCGAGAGAGTCCCCGAAAAACTTTTAATTAGCGAGTTTATCCATTTATCTACATACCGCCACTGAAAGGAGCAGCCATGCCTTAGTCGCCAGGGGGCGGATCCCCCCGACCCTCTCCCCTCCACCGAAAAAAAAACTCGGAATACGTAGGAAAAATTAACCAACAAAAAAAGAACAAATGCCACGAATAAAAATAGACAAAAAATGAATATAAATAAAACGGAAAAACAAATGTTGGTGCGGTAAAATAAACGAGGTGTGGTGGAACTGGACCGAAGGCGCCTTGATCCCCTCCACNCGAAGGCGCCTTGATCCCCTCCACCCGCCCCCCTCCCCCCTCCACCTCCCTCGCCCTCATTCCGCCCCCCTCGGCCCCTCGCCACCGTGCGCCGCACAATAGAGAGCATACCGAGTTGGTTTTGCATATGAAAGAGCAACGAGAATAGAGGTTTTGAGATAGCCCCACCGTGTGTGCTTATATATTTTATATATATGTACATATCCAGTGATATTATATCTGACAGGCCTTTTTACCAAGGCTGGTGTGGAAAGCACCGTAAGTTTCGAATTCCCTGGTGAAAATGTTTTTTTCTCAAAAAATAATAAAAATCTCTTCAGACCTTCACCCTCTACTTTATCAATGCCCAGCGATACGGTTTACCGATTTTCATAAGTTATTTATCCCTTTTTATTTTTCGTAACAACCCCCCCCCCCCCCCCCCCCCCCC